CTGAGATTAGTCCTCGCTAGTCAAGGAGGCGAGCGAAACGGTAAAAGGAAAAAAAAAAAGAAGGAAAGAAATACGAAGAGAAAGAAACAAAGGAAAGAGAAAAAGAGAGAGAAAGAGAGAGAGAGAGAGGGAATAACGAAAAAGCGAGCAAAGAAAATAATTTAAAAAAGAAGAAATGTGAGAGAGAGAAAGAAAGAAAGAAATAATGGATTTAAGCATGAGACTTTTTTGGTTCTCTCTTTTTCTCTCTCTCTCTCTCTCTCTTTTTCTGTTTCTCTTGCATAGACACACACCCCCGAAGTAATTAGAAAACTTGATTATAAAGTTAGATTTTTCGACTTACTCAACGATTCTATCTCGTTTAAAAAAATAAAAAAAAGAAAGCAAAAAAATAGAGAGAGAAAGAGAGAGAGAGAGAGAGAGAGAAAGATAGGTATCCTTTCTTCATCTCTATCGAAGAGGGGAAAAGAAAATATTGAAAAATTAAATCCGAGCTTCTTTGATGTGGAAGTATCTTACCGAGATATGAGATACTAAAAAGTAACTCGAGGGTACTTTACGTGAATAAATTAATCTGTTGTAATTTCAAGTAATTCGAGGATATAATATCTATATATATATATATCGTACATACGTCATATATTAAATTTATTATCATTTAAATCGAAACAGAAAAGTTTATATCATTATGCATTATAACAGGACGTTTCAAAATATGTTTAGTAATAACTTATGATGTGGTATCAGTAAATATAAAATAATAATTAAAACAAAATTCATATAATCATACGCCACACAGATATATGATCTACTATAATAAAAATAAACTAAATAATTATTAATACTTATAAATTGTGTGTTCATATAATTTAATTTATACATATATATAGATATATGTGTATATATACACACCTACATCCTACTGTGGAACATGCAATAAAGAGGAAAAAAAAAAGTATAAAAGAGAGAAAACACTATTCGATTTCCAGACTGGAACCATCGGCACTTTTCCACTTCTGTTTTATAGCCGGAGTTTAGATCGTTGAAGCTTTCCATTGAAAATAAATTGCTGGATGCTCGCCGCGAATGCTTGGAAGGTAGCAGGCCGTCTGAATAAAATCCGGCTCACACACACACACACACACATATACACATAACACACAGTATATCCGCTTGATCTCTTCGCGCAAACCTAAGTATTATATACTATATCGTGAACAGTATATGAAATGGGGATATAGGTATAAAGATGATGGGGTGTGGAGAGTACGAAGCAAGTAAAGGAGAGTTTCAAAAACGATAGCTCGGAGTAATAATTCCGTCTATATATTTTACAAAAAGCAAAGAGAATCGCAGAAATAAAGAAAAAGAATAAAGGGAGTAAGTTGATAGGTTCGATAATCGATGAGATATATATTCTTTGAATTGGAATAGCAGAATAATATAAACGTTTATACGTACAATACGTACATCCTATCATTCTGTAATATCATACTTATCGATAATGTGAAGAAATAGATAATAAATCTACTAGAATGGTGCTTACTGTCCATTCGAATATCCAATATTATGATAAAAATCTTTCAAATAAATAAACTTACATTTAATTGTCAATATGGTGAGAAATATTACATCGAAATGAAAATGATATATAAACATATAATTTAACGAAAATACACGTCGATAATTTAGAAATATATTCCTTATATAAGAGAAAAGAAGTACAAAAGGAAAGCCAAGTTTACGGACACATCGAATTTGTTTTAATTCTACACGGTTGTAAAAGTCTCATTAGGACCATACACTATGCGAGTAGTAAGACCCAATAATACTCAACTGTTTCCAAGAAAACGAAAAAAGAAGTTAATCATTTAAACACAGTTACATATTTGAAAATTTTACAATTAGATATAACTGATAAATTAAAACATTTCCGAGTTCATATTGATATGGCTCATTTTCTTTTTTTTTTTCTTTTTTTCTTTACAAATGAGAAGAAATCTATACGTGAAATTTTGTCACGTATTTATATTACATCTTGTATCTATAAATCCATATATAAACGGTTATAAAATATAAGATACAAATTAAATAGCTTATCTATCTAAAGAAGAGTAAGTAAAATGTCAGATATATAAAATGCATTGATGCAAAAAATTAGAACGTGTCATTGATCGTCACATTGAGAAAAACAGAAAAGAAAAGGGCTTACAATAAAACGTTGGATAAACTCGAAGAAAAAGAAGAAGAAGAAGAAGAAGAAGAAGAAAAGAAAAGGAAAGAAAGAAATAATGTGAATCCGCAAATCCAGATATTTTTCTGGAGAATTACGAAGAAAACCGGTAAAGAACCTTACGAGGTATCGTAAGGGTGTTCAAGTTCGTAGCACGGACTCGTGGCAAAAGCCCTCAGTCCTCTGCATCAAAGCATAGGGTCAAGGCTCACTCGACCCATTTCTACATCATCATACCGTGCAAAATGCACGGTGTGCATGCAGATACATACATTGCAAAGAAGCTATAACAAAAAATCCTATAGTACAAAGAGAATCTAAAAATATTTACTTTTTATTCTGAATATATGTAAACGTGATTAAATTTCATGATAAATACATTTTTTTCTTATGCCTCGTCAGAATTTTATCTTATATTTTGTGATTTCCTTAAAAGAAAAACAAAATGTATTTATATTATTTAGATAATTTAATTTTATAAAATCATTTTTAAATTTTGTAAAACCATGTTAAAAACTTGACGATACTTTTCAATATTCCGTATTTCTTTTTGTTGTTGTTAAGAGATTCATTTGCCCAATTTTCATTACATTTGTAATACCGTATAAAGAATAAAATACAGTAGAAATGGTCAACGTAAGTCCTGGCAGATATTGAAACAAAATCGAAATTCGCGTTTATTTCATTTTCATTTTCATAGTTATTTTCATAGTTCATAGAAGGAAACTTAATTTAAATCCTTAAATCAATGAAGAAACTTTCTCTCTCCAGATTAGATAACGTTCAACTTGGAATTCAATAAAACAAAATATCACTTATTCATTGCTTCTGGATTTACAGGCAGGTATTAATATTAAATCGAAGAATATCTTTTTTTTTTTTTTATACTTGACACGAAATTTCATTAAAAACATTTTAACTGTAACATATAAAAAATGTATTTTCTCGTGCATTGAACTTGTTCTCTTTTCATTGTTAATTTGCTCTTTCTACCTTTCTCTCTTTCTTTGTCGGAGATATTTCTTGGTGCTTCAATTGGCAAGTCTAGCATACCTTTTTGTATTTCAGTTAGCATCAAAAGGATTCCCAAGTTCTTTATCTGCCTCGCCAATTTCCTCGCAAATGAGAAACGTCGACTCGTGCTAATTAACACACGAAGACCATACTACTGGACTCTGACCACGTTCTTCATGACAATAATTATTGAGAGAATTCTATCATCCCTTTTTAGAGAAAATGAAAGAGAAATACTGATAAAGAAAGAGAGAAAAAACAAACTATGACCAGGCTTTACATTTGTCGACTTCATGGACAATGAAAATCGGGAATTAATCATCTCCTCTGTCTTCTTCTTTATCATATTAATTAAATCTTTTAATTATAAGAAACATTGCATTGAAGGGAATTGAAAGAAAAATAATAACAAAGTTCCCTTCGAAATCAAATCTACAAGATTATTCTTATTCGAAGGATTAAAAACAGCCATCATATTCTTTGTACTCGTTTCAAATTCTCAGATTTTTAAAGCAGCATTTTTCAAGGTACACAGACCGCAGTCCAAGATTAAAATGATTAATAGCTACCTTATGGCAAAACGAAAGAACTAATTGTGCCATATTTTAAAAACAATTATTTAAATCTATCAGGTTCCTATAAATTTGTAATCATAAACATTACAACAACAACAACAACTAAAACCGCATTGAACCACGCAACAAAATAATTGAGAAATACAATCCTAAGATATATTTATAATTTTATTTTCAAACGAAATTATATATATAATATATATATAATTATATATATAATATATACACAAATATATTAATTCTAACGATAGTTGTTAATCTACAAATTTATTAAATAATGTACAATGAATTATTATAATTTTCTTATTTTTAAGAAAATGTATGACTTGAAATTGGATTGCATGCAGTCTACAGTTCGCGGATTGGACAACACTGGTATATATAGCATAGTTATAGTATAAAGGAATAGTGGTATACGTCAAGTATGGTCAGCCAACGGTGTGACGGAGCATTGTGTGGTTTCCTATGACAAACATCGCAAGGACGATGGTGAGAGCGTAGTGGCAGGAGCCTCTGGTGAACATCGGCTGGGTAGAGGCGTTTACTTTACGTGCCCTATGCTGTTGTAGTACGCGCCAATTCGATGCTAAACTATGGTTAATCAAGCATTCTAGAATCGCACGCTTTGTGCATGCTGATAACTAAGCCAGGCATCGAATTCGAATCGTCATCGATTTATTAGGAAACCAGGAAACGCCCTCGTGAACGTTCTTCGATGACGAACGAATAAATGAATGAATGAAGGAATAAATAAATAAATGAATGAATAAACGAACGATAGAATGAACACGGATAGGATTAGGAAGAGAGAGAAAGAAAAAGAGAAAGTCAAAGAGAACAATGGCTCATTTCTCATGTTTAGTTCGTTTGATTCATTCTAAACGATTTTCGTGAAACAACAAGATCAACGGGAATGTTCCTGAGTTCCATATTGATTAGTCTCAGCCTGTTCGGTGCATTAACACCGATGCAATATGCATTTTGAACTCCGTCACGCGAGATAAACGACTGCTCGTTCGAGTCGAAGGCATTTATGGTTGCCCTCAGATGCATCCAAGTGAATTTCCTTCCATGATATAAGCCAATGTCGTTTCTTCTTCTTCCGTATAAATTTTTCAAATTCTCTGATATTTATTTAAGGATTAAAAGGGACAACAAAATAGAAATATTATCGTTTCTTATCTTTTATTCTTTTTTCGTAAGATAATCTTTAAACAAATCTTAGGATCTTGCAAACTCGAAATGTTTGTTATTATTATTATTATTATTATTATTATCATCATCACATCATCATCATCATCATCATCATCATTATTATTATTATTATCAATAAAACTAAAGACTAATTAGCTGGATTAGAAATATTTTCTTTCGAGTTAAACATCTGCATTATTAATTAGATGTTTCCCCTTGGCACTTTAAATGCTCCATCATTTACGTCAAAGCATTCCGTGAATGCGGTTACCAACGTGGCTTCACCTACTACGAACTACCAAGGGAATTTAATTTTGCAAAATTAGGTCGTGCACGTATAATGTGTGGAAGTATTAAAATAATTCCTTCTTTTCTTTATCGTTTGAAACTGTTCACTTCTCAAAAAAATTCTTCTTATTAGATGACCCCTCTTCGATTTGTTTGATAATCCTATAAATTTTATAATATCTTTTCTAAACATTTTCAAGAGATCTATTATCTTATACCTTTTCTGACATATATAAAATAAAAAGTAAATAAATAAAATAAAAATAATAAAATACCTAATTCGTTTTATTTTCGTTAAGGTGCCGAAATTCTCGCCAGAAAAATATTCTTCTGTTAATAACGATAGGTCCGGATTACGTTCAAAGAACGAAAATGAAAGGATCACGTAAACCGTCTTATTATCACTCGGAACGTTAACTTCCTTCCCCTTTCTCTTTCTACTTTTTCGAGTCTATAGTTATACGATGACTAGGGTTTGAAATGCTTACCACCCTGAGGAACACATAGGCGTTCCTTCGAGTAAGCGTCGAATCCTAGCACGTACAAGGACATAAATCTGACAGTCGTAGGAATCTATGAACAAAAGTGGAGCCACTTACACGCGCGTAAAGTAAAATTTATGGTAGGTGTGGGAATATAAATGTGCAGCGTATCATAAATTCCGCTCGTCCAAGAACGAAGCGCACGCCTGTGGTCCAACCAGAGTAGAACAGAGCAGAAGAGAAGAGAAGAGAAGAGAACAGAAGAGCGTAGCGCAGTACAACAGGAATATACTAACGATATTGTTCGAGGCATCCACGAGGCGCCAGACCAGGCCTTGTCCTCTTGCCTTTCATTCTCGAGAGAGAAAGAGAGAGAAAAAGGGAGGAAGAGAGAGAAAAACGATTTATTTTATCGGCCACTACGTCTCGGACCCATGGGATCACCCGCAAATCACTGCTCCCTCCCTGTGTATACTTCCTATACCCTTATCAAACGCTTCCCCCTGCTTCCTAGTTTCTTTTTTATTATTATTATTTTTTTGTATTGTTTAGTTTCCTCCTACTATTCATCATAAAAGCGTGTAACCGATTCGAAGGTCAACCAAGGTTGAGAACTTCGAACAAGATATCGATTCAAATTTCATTTTATTCATATTATCTGAATTTCACTTTTGTGATTTTGTATGAAAGTATATATAAGAATAAAGTTATCTTTCAAATTTTGATATGTTTTTAACTATGATGTCGTCGTGAATAAATTTGATAATCTTTCATGAAGTCTATGATGATTCATCGTTTTTAGGTAAATTACATATTGCATCAAATAAACATTCTTCTTCACGATTTAAATATAAATCTTTCATCTTTGATAATGGACATGGCATATTGTTAGGACAATTTGGTAAATATTTAATGCGTTCTTGATGCATAAAAAGAATGCTGGGTCCTTGTGATTCGCAACTAAAATAAATATGAATTTTTTTAATAGCATATATATTTATAAATATATAAGAGGATAATGAATTATACTTACTTATATAAAACAAAAGCTATATTACTTGCAAAAGCATCGATGTACGTAGTTCTCCAAGCTCTGTTATCTACATGTAACCAAAATGAATCATGCGTTAACGGAACTGTATTTTGTACTGCTCTTAATCGTGATAATAATTTAAGAATAGTTCCAGAATGTGTAAAATAAATTGATGCTAATATCCCATCGTCTTCTCTAAAAATATTAATTTTTTCAATTAGAAAATATAATAAGACAATAGTACTAATATAATATTTTATATATAATTCTCTCTTCTTACGAAAAAAATTTAAAGATATCTTTCAAAACTACACATGCTTGCTCATAAGTGATCTTGTATCCATATCCATCGATCCAATAATATTCTAAATCCTCTGAGTATTCGACAACCTTAAAATATTTAAATTTATATTAATATATGTTTTATTTTGTTTACTCTTTTATATATTTTTACCTTGAACTCATCCAAAGACAATAATTTGCACCAAGGAGAATCTGTATCCTTATACCATGCAGTCTCAAAGCCACACATGGTGTAAATCAAATGTACAATTTCTGAAAAATCAAATTTATAATATATTTTTTATATAAATTACTAGTATTTATTCACAGTAAATATAAGTAAACAATAAAAAAAGTTTTTAGCGCGCAAACATATGCAAGCATTTCAGAAAAGTGCAATTAAGCTGATACTAACAATATTTCATCACACAATATCGATTAAATGCAAACCATGATTAACTGGATGGCCAATTCTTTTTGAAATACTTTTCAATGTATTCATGAACACTTCACTTCTCAAGAATTTTTCTTTCTCAATGATTGCAGATGTATTTTTATCAACTTCACTACGCCAGCGAGTACAAAGTTTATAGAACTAAAAAATGAAGTGAAATGTTTATATATATATATTCAATAAATAAATATATATACATATAAACATCTATATCTATCATTTTATAATTAAAATTACCCTTAAGACAGGGTCTTTATGTTCTGCTTTAGGATACCAAACATTCTGACTGTTGAACCAGCCAAATAAACCAGCAGCAAAGTATTTAGCACTTTCTTCAGTTCTTTGTGTCGCAGTATATTTGAACTACAAATAAAATAATTAAAAGAATATTAAATGAAGCTTATAAAAATTACAAACATTTAAATTATACAATATGAATACCTTATAAGTTTTATTATCATATGTTTCTGGCATAATAGTAGGAAATCTAGATTGATATCTTTCTCCAAGATCAATCATTTCATTTTCTCCTTCCTCTGCAAGATTCATCGTATCGTTTTTTGTGAATCTCATTTTCCAATTAGCTAAGTTAACTATAATATCATGAGATAAATTAGTTTCATTCATTTTATAATTATTTATTATAATTTCCTTTAATTTTAGTAAATCCTTTGTCATGCGAGATACATATTTCTTTCCAGGATACCGTGTACCGTGTCTTAAGATCAACCAAATCTTTTTTGGTACACATCCTGAAATAAATAGAAGATAAATTAAAAGATGACAAACATATTATCAATTATAATTATTTAATCCAAATATAAGTACATACCTGGGTATTCGATAGGTTTATCATTGTGAGAAGCTATAAATCTATAAGGTGTTTTTGTTCCTAACCTACACTTATAATTATCATCTTGTAAGAAACAATCATATGCAAAGCAAAAAATATTAGTTGTTAAAAATATAAAAACTATACGTAAATTAAATATCATTTTGTGCATATATATGTTTTTATATTCCTTTTAAAAATTTGTCATAAAAAATAAATAAATAGATAAACTCTCGAAACATAAGAATCCATTTGGGAAAATATCAATTATTATATTAATCATGAATTATGAAATCATTTTAACTTATGTCTAATAACAAATTTTGGATATTTAAATGACAGATTTTTATAAATTTACTGTTGATGTCTCTGTATTGTGCACAATTTGTTAGGTTAAGTATAGATGTCTCTGATTGATCAAACTTTTATAAAAACTTGCCTTAATGTCAACGAAATAATTAATATTCTTTGAGTATAAGACTGTTAAATAAATATTATTGTATAAATAAATATAAAATTTATTTATATGTTTTTTTTTTTTTTCTTTAAAAATGTACACCTAATTCAGTGCCATAAATATTATATTTTTATTCAAAAATCTTTATCAACCGAGAAGTGGGAGTCCCGGCGATTTTAATGGATGACGAATGAATTGAGCCTACAACATATTGCACAACGTTTCGTATTTGTAAGATTTAACCATATTTTTAATGACATTGATAAAGTCTAATTTCTTTAAAAATGATATATTTATTCCATAGAATTGTATTACTTCCTTTTAAATCTATTGACATCGTATTTTAATTATTATAAGCGTTTCATTTTTGTCGTGAACATATCTGACATTATTATTTGCAATATTTTAAAGAATATCGACGAACAATTTTCAGGTAAAAAATTCAAATTCCTTATGTGTATAAAATATATCAAGATTGTTTTATTCAAATTTTGATATTTATATAGAATACATTTCTTAAGTAATTTATTTAATATAATTTCAGTATTTTGTGACTAATTTCATTTTTTATAGTTTATTGTTTATTTCTTTTTCTTCTCATACTGTATAACCCACTTGTAATTTTATTTTTTTTTTTTTCATATTTGATAATTGAAAAACAAGTTATTTTTATATTTGATTAATTGATTCTTTTGTTATAATTTACAATTTTTAATCTTCAGTATCAAAGAAATCAAGATGCCTGAATTACCACGCATTACTCGTACATTACGCATGTATACTAATTTAGATCGTACAAAAAAATTATTAGAACTTGCTCCTAATGATTTAATCAAAAAGAGAGAGGAACAAACGAACAAATTGAAAAGGTAAATTACAATATTTTTAATTTCTTCGCGCTATGATTGGTATACATATTTTTTATACTTCTATAATTATAGCGGTTCAAGTTGGTTCGAATTATGTAAAACTGCCCCAGAAGAAATTTTACCTTTGCTTAATAAATTACATGATATTGCTACCAAGATTTTCCGTAAGTAATAAAATGTATAATAACGTAAATAATAGATTAAACTTAAATACATTCTTCTCTAATCGTTTCCTCTTTTTGTAGATGGTCATTCGGCTGAAGTTATTAATGAATTTTCCATCTTTACTCTGCGTTTATTAATAGATTCAGAAAGTATATCTCAAAAACAATTGGAACTTTTACGTCACATGGCTGGTAATTTATCGAAACAAGATATGAATAAAATTATGCAGGTATAATTCTTTATAAGTGTGTCCATATATACACATATATATTATCGATTTTATGTCAACTTTTATTTTTATATATTTCATATTATTGAATAACATATGACAATCTAAATAATTCATTTATTTATCATTAGATAGTTGAAGATATCCGTGATAAATTGGACACAGATGCAATTGAACGTTTAATTAAATTATCTGAGACAACTTCGAATTCTAATAATTCTGAAACCAATTTTTTTGGGTCAAAATTTTCTTACAATTCAGCTAAAGTACTTTGGCCCGATACAGGTATGCTCCGCAATATGGCAAATTTAGGACAACATACTAATTCATTTACTATGGCTTATGAAACTAAAGTTCCCCCATCGAACAAAGATGAGGTACTTTTAATATCTTATATGTGTGTGTGTGTATATATGCAAACTAAATATGAAATTAAATTTGAAACATTTATGTTTTCAATTATTGTTCCAGTATTCAATGCAGTTCAACAAGTCAGTATTTGTAAAAGGCTTAAGAAATTCTTATGAAAAGTATTCAACGGAAATGTCTTTTGACAACTTTGGAACAGTAATAGTATCAAAATTGATCAATTCTGAAAATATTGAAAATGAATTGTTTGACTTATTAGGGTATGAACACATTGAATTTATACAATATATTATTGAGCATAGAAAAGCTATCATAAACGCTTATGGTTCTCAAAAAGTACCAAAACTACCAACTCCGCAAGGGCCAGTGATTAGTGGACAAGTGACGGTACAATCTGAAGAAGAGAAACAATTATTGAAGCAAGTCCGTAAAGAAGAAAAGAAATTTAATAAAATTACGAGTAAGAGAGATGGAAAAACTGAAGATGAAGAAATAATTGATCCACTTGAATTACGTTTAAAAAGAAAAGAAGCATTAACAGCAATGTGTACTCCAATTTTCCCAAAAAGAAATTTAGTTCCTGAAAGATATAGAGAGAAATTTCCATTCGTCTTTGATTCGAAAGCGACTACTGAAAATTGCCCAGGTTTAATTTCAGGACATAAAGTTATGTTACCAGAAAATGTTAAGATAAATAATACTAATTTATGGGAAGAAGTTCATATACCTATTCCAGATTTACAAGACATTAATGTTCCAAATGAACCTGTTATGGTATCTTCATTGGACGAAATTGGACAAATTGCCTTTAATGGTATAACATCATTAAATCGAATACAAAGTATAGTATTTAATTCTGCATACAATACTAATGAAAATTTATTGATTTGTGCTCCGACTGGAGCAGGTAAAACTAATGTTGCCATGTTAACTATAATTCATGAAATAAAGCAACATATGACACAAGATACTACGACAAATCAATTTAAGATTATTTATATAGCGCCAATGAAAGCATTAGCAGCAGAAATGACTGCTAATTTTAGCAAAAGATTAAATCGTCTTGGTATATCTGTACGTGAATTAACTGGTGATATGCAATTAACAAAACTAGAAATTCAACAAACTCATATGATAGTGACAACTCCTGAAAAATGGGATATTGTAACAAGAAAAGGTACAGGAGATATTGCTCTTACAAGTATTGTGAAACTACTAATTATAGATGAGGTACATTTACTGCACGGTGATAGAGGTCCTGTTGTTGAAGCAATAGTTGCTAGAACGTTGAGACAAGTAGAGACATCACAAAGTATGATCCGTATAGTTGGGCTTTCAGCAACATTACCAAATTATGTAGACGTTGCAAGATTTTTAAGAGTAAATCCTTACAAAGGTTTGTTTTATTTTGACCATCGATTTCGTCCTGTTCCATTAAGTCAAACATTTATTGGAGTTAAAGCACAGAAACCAATGGTTCAAATAGGACACATGGATGAAGTATGTTATAATAAAGTCATCGAAATGGTCCGCGAAGGACATCAAGTTATGGTCTTTGTACATGCTCGCAATGCAACAGTTAGAACGGCCAATGTGATCAGAGACTTAGCAATAAAAAACGAAACGCAAAAATTATTTTTATCAGATGCACAAGAAAAAATTGCTGGTAGAGCATTCAGTAAATCACGAAATAAATATCTTCCTGATTTGTTTAGCTGTGGCTTGTCAGTTCATCATGCGGGTATGTTACGTTCGGATAGAAATCTTGTTGAAAAATATTTTTCTGAAGGTTTGATAAAAGTATTGGTTTGTACATCTACTCTTGCTTGGGGTGTAAATTTACCCGCACATGCTGTCATTATTAGAGGAACAGAAATATATGATTCTAAACATGGTACATATATTGATTTAAGCATACTGGATGTTTTGCAAATTTTCGGTCGTGCTGGTAGACCACAATTCGATACATCTGGTCACGCAATCATAATTACAACTCATAATAAATTGTCACATTATTTGTCACTTCTAACTAATCAGATACCTATTGAAAGTAGTTTCATAACTTACCTAGCAGATAATTTAAATGCAGAAATTGCATTGGGTACAATATCAAATGTAGAAGAAGCAGTCGAATGGTTAAGTTACACGTATCTTTTTGTACGAATGAAGTTAAATTATTTACAATATGGTATACCATATGCAACTATTGCAGACGATCCAAATTTGGAACAAAAACGAAAAACATTAATTGATGCGGCAGCAAAAGCACTGGATAAAGCTAAAATGATTCGATATAATATACGTACTGGTGATGTTAACACTACAGATTTAGGACGTATTGCTAGTCATTATTATCTTAAATATGATACAGTTGAGATTTTTAATGAATTGTCAGAGAATTTCATGAGCGAAGCAGATATACTTGCAATGATATCACGTTCACAAGAATTTGAACAACTTAAAGTAAGGGATGATGAAATTGAAGAATTAGAACGTTTGTGTCAAGAATACTGTGAGGTTGTACCGAAAGGTGGACCAGAAAATATTTATGGCAAAGTAAATATTTTAATACAAACTTATTTGTCAAGAGGATGGGTTGATTCATTCTCTTTGACATCAGATTTAGCATATATCACACAAAACGCTGTACGCATATGCAGAGCATTGTTTGAAATTATGTTAAGACAAAATAATGCAATAATGGCAACTCGTTTATTATTAATGGCAAAAATGCTTGAACTGCAACAATGGGATTATATGAGTCCTTTGCGTCAATTTTCTTGTTTATCGGCAGAAATTATTAAAAAAATAGAAGATCGTAATATCGTAGTAGATAAATTAATAGAAATGGATGTTAAAGAAATTGGAATCATTTTGCATAATCAGAAAACAGCTGCATTGGTAAAGAAATGCTGCAGTGAATTGCCCTCTTTAAAAATGGAATCTATCTTACAACCTATTACACGTACTGTTTTAAGAATACGCTTACAAATCACTCCACAATTTCGGTGGAATGATGCAGTTCATGGAAAAAATTCTGAAGCATTTTGGATATGGATTGAAGACCCTGACAATAATCTTATATATCATCACGAATATTTTATTTTAACCAAAAAAATGGTTTATAAAAATCTTGAACAAGAAATTGTAATGACTATACCATTATGTGAACCATTGCCTAATCAATATTTAGTAAAAGCAATAAGTGATCATTGGCTCGGAGTGGAGAATATGTTATCTGTAACATTCCGTGATTTAATTTTACCAGATATTCATCCACCGCATACTGTGTTATTAGAATTACAACCATTATCTGTGACAGCACTGAAAGACTCATCATTTGAAAGATTATATAGATTCTCTCACTTCAATCCAATTCAAACACAAATCTTTCATTGTCTTTATCATACGGATAACAATGTTCTTCTAGGAGCTCCGACAGGTTCTGGTAAAACAATAGCTGCAGAAATAGCTATGTTTAGAGTATTTAAACAATATCCCGATCAAAAAGTTGTATATATTGCACCATTGAAAGCTTTGGTTCGAGAGAGAATGCATGATTGGAAAGTAAGACTTGAAGAAAAATTGGGGAAAAAAGTGGTTGAATTAACAGGAGATGTAACACCTGATATCAAAATTATTGCTAATGCTAGCATCATAATTACTACTCCTGAAAAATGGGATGGAATTAGTAGAAGTTGGCAAACAAGGAATTATGTTCAAAAAGTAGGACTGATAGTTATAGATGAAATTCATTTACTAGGAGAAGATCGTGGACCAGTACTAGAAGTAATTGTTTCTAGAACAAATTTTATTTCCTCTCATACTTCAAGAAAATTAAGAATCGTTGGTCTTTCCACAGCATTGGCCAATGCAATTGATTTGGCTAATTGGCTAGGGATAAAAGAAATGGGTCTTTATAATTTTCGTTCGTCTGTTAGGCCAGTACCATTAGAGGTTCACATCAGTGGATTTCCAGGCAAACATTATTGTCCACGTATGGCAACAATGAATAGACCAACTTTTCAAGCAATAAGACAACATGCACCTACTAGTCCGTCACTTGTTTTTGTATCTTCGCGCAGACAAACACGTTTGACTGCATTAGATTTGATTGCTTATCTTGCAGCGGAAGATAATCCTAAACAGTGGTTGCATATGCCCGAGGAAGAGATGGATAATATTTTAGAAAATATTAAAGATTCGAATTTAAAACTTACTCTTGCTTTTGGAATTGGTCTTCATCATGCTGGATTACACGATAAGGACAAACAAACGGTTGAAGAATTATTTGTTAATAATAAAATACAAGTATTAATTACGACAGCGACATTGGCTTGGGGTGTAAACTTTCCCGCACATTTGGTTGTGATAAAGGGAACAGAATATTATGATGGTAAAACGAAACGTTACGTGGATATGCCAATAACGGATGTGTTACAAATGATGGGAAGAGCTGGAAGACCACAATTTGATGATTCGGGTGTAGCTGTTGTCCTTGTACACGATTTAAAGAAAAATTTTTATAAAAAATTTTTGTACGAACCATTCCCCGTTGAGTCAAGTTTGTTAGCGGTATTGCCAGATCATATAAATGCTGAAATTGTAGCTGGTACGATAAAAAATAAGCAAGAATTCTTAGATTATTTAACGTGGACATATTTCTTTAGAAGATTAATGAAAAATCCAAAATATTATAATTTGGATACTTTAGAACCTCTTTCAATCAATCAATACTTGTCATCTTTAGTGGACACCACATTGAAAGTATTATTGAATTCACGTTGCATAGATTATAGCGAAGTAAGTGAAGTGTTCATGTTTATATTATCTTACATCACATTTTCACATTATTTTAATATTTGATTATTATTTGATTATAGGAAGATAACATACTGTTTCCTCTTTCAACTGGCAAAATAGCATCCTTTTATTACTTATCTCATCTTACTATGTTAATGTTCGAGCAAACATTAATAGAAGATCTTCCATTATATGAATATTTAAAAATCTTATGTAATTCATGTGAATATAATGAACTTCCTGTTAGGCACAATGAAGACTTAATGAATGAGTAAGTATAAATGTAATATCATATATATTTTTTTTCACATGATACAACTAATCAAATCTATTTAACAGAGATTTGGCAAAAATGTGTCGCTATCAAGTTGATCAATATACATACGATTCACCAAATACAAAAGCTTATCTTCTACTGCAAGCACACTTTTCAAGGCTTCCACTTCCATGTACAGATTATAATACTGATTTAAAATCAGTCCTCGATCAAGCTATTAGGATAATTCAAGTACGTATTGGAACAAATAAAACAAAATTCTTATATACATAAACAATATTTGTTAATTATTTATATTACACATTGGAATGTTCAGGCAATGATAGATATTGTAGCAGAGAAGGGTTGGTTAGCAAGCACGCTTAGAATAATGCAATTATTACAAATGGTTATACAAGCAAGATGGATCGATGAACCTGCAGTCATTACCTTACCTCATATAAATAAGGAACATTTACCTTTATTTTCTTCTTTGCCAGCACCTCTTCCAGTATTATGTGCTATTACTATTAATAATTATAATCGACTTGCTAAAGCTTTAAATAAAGAATTTCACGAAGAACAGATACATCAGGTATATAAATTTATATTATTATTTATTTCTTTCTCCTGTTATATTTACAAGCATTTATCTTATTTAAAATATTTCTTGTTAGATACATCAAGTTATTAAACAAATGCCAATGTTGTGTATTGATCTAACGTTACATGGGAACTGGGAAGACGGTAATGAGAAAAAGATACCACTACAGACGAATTATAATCAAGTTATTGATCTTCGTGAAAATGAAGAATATACATTAGTCATTAAAATGAAAAGAAAAAATCATTCTAATACATTAAAAGCACATTGTCCTATGTTTCAAAAAGGGAAAGATGAAGGATGGTTTTTACTGTTAGGTGATATTTCAAAACGAGAATTATGGGCTTTGAGAAGAGTCAATAGTATTAATGATCATCATAGAATTTATCAATTACAATTCACAGCACCTCGTAATATAGGTAAATTTTCATTTTATTATCTGATTCATTATAATATGTGTTTATCCTGATATAATTATTTAATAATTACTTTAATATTAATGTTTTAGGGTCAATGAAATTGACATTTTATTTAATTTCTGATTGTTATATTGGTTTGGACCAACAGTATGATATACAAGTAAATATAATACCTTAAAAATAAAATTTTAATATGTAGAGAAAGTATTAGATTTATTAAAAGATGGTAAATTTATTTCATATAATATTTTGTGTATATATTGTACAGCGATGTAACATATTAGGTATCTATGAACACAAAAAATATATTTTTTTTTACTTAATTTTATTAGACAGCTATGAAACAAGATGCGTGGATTATTCCAGATTCTTCATACAAATATAAACATTATTATTCTTAGTATATAAAGATAGAAAAAGCAACATGTACAGGATCACTTTTACAATTCCATAGATATATCCCTATGGAAGTCTTACAGATAACGAGTTATTTGTTTGTTTGTTGTTTTTTATTCGTTATTATGTTCTATTTTATTATTTTAAGCAGAGTTTTGTGAGTTAATGTACTAAATAGCAATATTAAAAAAGAAAAAAAAAACATAACATTTTTCATTTTTATAATTATACAAAGAAATTTGTAAGAGTATAAAAAATAAACCTATATAAATGAATATTTAAAAACTATATATGTTACAAAACACTGCTTTTATATCGACCTCGTTTCCTTCTGAATAATATATATTATATAACGAGTAATAAAGTATAAGAATTATTCCATTTGTGTAATAATCATATTAGCTTAAATAATAAAATATGGGATAGGAAGGATATGAGATCATTCCATTGCTTTGTTTTGAAAAAACTCTATAACATGTATTAAGTTTTGTGGGAGTTCATTAATACCAGTTCTTTTCATATAATAATATATGAATTAACACAGAATATGCAGTTTTACTAATGACATAGAAGAGATATATTTTTTTCTACTTTTCTTCTGTTTTTTTTTTTCCATTATCAATAAATAAATAAAATTTTGACTAGCCTGAACATTTTTATTATTCAGTTATTTTTAAGACACTGAAAATGACTAGATATTTACTCTTTAAGGTTTATTTTATCTCTTATCAAAATTTTTATTCGATATCTACGTAATTATAGGTTTGCATATTTCAGTTTTTTTCTTTTTTTTTTTTTTTTTTTTTTTTTCTTTCTTTTTTTATTTTATTTTGATAGATAAAAAAGAAAGATATTTTCTAGTTATTTTATAGAAGCACACTAAAAAAATATTTTACCCGTATATAATATTTGGACATCTGGTTTGAAATAGTTAAATATTGAAGGCATGAAGTGAAAGATTTTTTGTTCTCTCTTCATTGTCAGTAGTTATACTTACTCTCCATGTATATATACATATATAAATTATGTGTTATATATAATTATATAATTAACTACACATGGCTGTATTTCCAACCAAAGCAAAGAAATACTTAAGCTCCTTCCTTTATTGCAATAATTATGGAAGTACTGAATACGATTTGTGTAAGTATTAAAAGAAAATGCACTTATACAAAAAACATTTTGACATTGTTAATAGTATACATTCATTTGCGTTGTAACAATCAAATATTTTCTTTTGCACGCAGGGTAACTCTTTCATATTTGTGATTAATAGTATCAGCCATAGTAATTTTTTTTTTGTTTCTTTTTTTCCCCCTTTTCTTTTCTTTTTTTCTGTTTTTTTTTTGGTATTATCTTATTTTATAGTTCATATAGTCGGACTTTTTACAATATGACTGATAGCATTATTAAATTTAGTTACCACATTCATCAAATGTCTTTATTCTCAGATGTTATTGATCATAAAAGAATAATCTATAACATCACTCAAGAACTAAGGAAGCACTTGCATAACTAACTGAGCTATCATTCATGTTATTGCACTGACTACTTTGAGCATATTTCAAAAATTTTAAATTCATTTTTTGACCATTAGTATTTCCTTTCAAACTGTGTATTGCCTGAAATTGAGATATTATGTTAATAACTATTATTAAAAATAATTGAATGTCTACAAAATGATAAGAAAGAATTATAAACATTCTTAAAAATAAAAATTAGATTTAATATTACCTGTAGCAAAACACCAATTGGATGACGGCCGCATATAGTATTGCCATATTTTTTAAGATAATCCGTAAACACTGTAGGGTTCAATGTTTCTATTATATCCATGCCCTAATAATATGCAGCGAATGAAAAAATATTATTTAAGATTAGAAGGTGTTTAATAATATTTAGTTTTTATACGTAACATTAATACCTACCATCTTATCAAGATTTTGGATAGATCTATGAATCGGACCACATGATCTATCATAGTATGTATATCGAAATCTTTGTCCCCAATGACAAAAGTCTGAGGAAACAACGAACAATGTTTGAGGATCAGCTAAATAAGGTGCTAATAATCTTCCATAAAGAGCTTCTCTTTCTGGTGTTAAAGATCCCACTAAAATGGGGATTATAGTAAATGAATCTTTAAATCTGTAACAATAAAAAATTATATTTTAAAATATATATATATAATAATATAAGAAATATTATAAAATACACCATCTTTGATTATACGTACCCTTCCATAACTTTAGCTAAAAATGGTAATTGCATTTCAATACTGTGTTCCTCTTCATCTGTGTTCAAATCCATCCATTCGAAATGTCCTGTCTCTTCAAGTTCTCTCCGCACTGTTATAGGCATAATGTAAAGAATAAAAATCAGTAAGAACGTTTTGATTTTATAAACATCTCCTAATAGTTAACCCTTTCACTATGAAGGCATATATATATGCCCTTGAAAGGTGAATGCTTACATACAAAAAATGTATATATACCGCATATACTATGTTATATTTAGTATATAAGATATTATCATTATTATTATTAATTGAGTATTTTTTTTTTATTTAATAAAATTCAGCATTCTGTATGCTAATGTCAACTAGTCAGTAACGTACTCTATCCACAGTGATCATATTTTGTTATAAACCATAGCAAAAGGGTTAATAATTAGCAGTTGTAATACATTTTTAAAATTATGTATACCTTGTTGATCAATATGTAAATCATATAATGGTGTTCGATACATGGAAGCAGTAGACAGGGCACATCCTGGCAATCTCACATAATGAGAAGGGCCTAGAATAAATATCTTGCGGCTGCATAAAAATATATTACTCATTTTATATACATATCTTGTAATTTGATGACTTTTTATTAATAATTATATTTATAGTCAATAGATTAAACTTACACAACTACAGGACTAATTTGACGATATGCATAACCAGCACATCCTCCGCAATAGCTATAGCCTGCATGTCTGAAAAAATCCAATCGATGTTAAAAATAAACGAATAAAAATACTAATGATATAATATTCTATAGTTACTAACGGGGCAATGATTGCCCTAGCAGGTCCATGAGATAGGTCTGCTGCACCCAGCCAACCTTCTAGTTGCTTATTCAATTCTGAACCTACAGCATATATCGCTAATTCAGATTTTGGGATTATCTTTTAGGACTTTTTCTTTTTCAGAAATATATAAATGTTTGTGTATGCACATAATATTCTTTCCATATAATTTTATAATTATATAGATTGTGTAGCATTTTATCTTTTTTCTCCTGGATGTTAGAGTTTCGTAACGTTTCAAACGATTGATTATAATCCTTGAACCTGCATTAGTGCATCAAAATTATTATATCACTATTTAATAATTCTTTCATTTATCAAATAAATCTAAACTCTATAAAAAAACAATGTTTACATTTACTTAACTTTATATTTATGATATATATTTTATATATGATCGAGCTTAGGATACAATTTTGATCAATCATTCATCAGTTAACTTAATATTTAATTTAAATTTTTGTTCTCTTAAGAATATATCAAACAATTACATGTTATACAATAAGAAATATTTTAAAAAAGAATATTGCAATTTGTTTGGAACATTGAGGTAAACTGAATATGGCCTAGTATATCTATCTTGTAAAAATGTCCATTCTATTGACAAAACTATTACTATTCACTAACAATTCTGTTTTAGTATTTATAATTCATGATTCATATATTCCTGTGTTATAAAAATTTCAACATATTTTAATAACATATTTTTAATAAAGTATTATTTTCAAAATTGAATATAGCATTACTCTTCGCAGAATAATGAAATTGACATGACATAAAAATAGAAAGCAATGAATATTTTTCTTATTTTGTCATGCATACAAATATTATTTATATTATAAAAGGAATAATTTTAAATGTCACTTACCAGAATCTGAGTACCAACTACCAGCATGAGTTGCTCTTCTAATTAATGCCATATCTATATTTGGCTTGAACAACCTCTCACGTCGTGTGATATCGATTCTGTTATCAATAACTCTTAAGAATTCTTTCATAAATATAATATAAATATAATTTAATAATTTATAACTATACTCGCGTGAAAAATGTTTATAAAACTATCACTAAAGTACGGTTCAGTTTTGTTCATAGATTATATAAAGACGGCATTGAAGTACATTAAAAGAGAAACAATACATTTCAGTCTAAATTTATGCTGGTCAAAGAACCATCTAGTAGT